GGGAAAATGTGTCTGTGTGTGAGAGGGAGAAGAGCCTCGCTAATGACCTCGCTTCGGGGTCGGTGTTGGCATTTTGTCTTCACCGCAACTTATGCGAGACACATAGACACTAGACAGCAATCGACTTGGAAAATGAGTAGGTTAGGTCAAAAAGACTTAATGCGAAGAGCGTCCATATGAAAGATAATCCCGCAGTGGGTTCAGTATCTCGCTCAAAAACACCGCCGCTATGCATCCACGCCCCAGGGTATAATCTATGTCTATGCACTTTATGGTGACGGCCTCTAGACATTCAATGCAATTAATTCGTGAAATTCGTCTCCCATTTCGTCATCTCTTCTTTCCTTTCCCGCCCCTGACACCTTTGACCTGAGTCACTGGCGCGGCGTGGTTTTTCTCCTTGATGTGGTTGAACAAGCGCGTCTTGGACGGAAACTCGGCCTTGCATACGACACACTGAAATTCCGCTGCAGCCTTGTCGGATTGTTCTGCCGCCTTCTGTGCTGCCCTCTTTGCTTTTTTCTGCTTGGCCTTGCCAATCTTGGGTTGTGCGGGCGTCTCAGGATCGGACGTGAGAGGAGTGCCCGAGAGACTGACGTCGTCAAATGCTGCAGAAATTTTTTCCAAAGGTTCTTCGCCTAAGCGTCGCTCAATCTCTGATCGGGGAGCATAATCATCATCCTCTGAAGCCTCAGATGACTCGTGGCTATCTATCGGTCCTGCTAGATCTGTTTGCCGTTGATGTACCTCGACGTCGCTTGGCTCGGTTTCAGCGATATCAGTCTTCGGAGAGGTTGACTTGGCTTGCTCATTGTGGAATTCGTCTCCATCAGCTGCCGTGGCGTCGTGGTCTCGTGCTGGATGACCATTTTCCAGCTCCAATTCTACACCCTCCTGGCGCATCTCCTTCTTCAGCTGTTTTAATAACTTGATATGCTTTTTGCTCTTCTCGTGGGCCTTGAATTGGGCCTCGCTCTTGAAAGTCTTGTCGCAGACCACGCAGTCATACTCGTGTTCCTCCAACTCGGACTCACTCGAGAACCCGCCTTCATATTCGTCTTTCGACCTTGATTTGGCCCACTCTGCTATCGCCTCGGCGCCAGTTTCCTGAAGCTTCGCTTGTTGCGCTGCCCTCGATCGTGCAGCCTGTGCTGCAGTCGCCTCTCGGAGAGCCTTTTGCCGTTCAGCTTCCGACTTCTGGTTGTTTTGAACGCGAGGGTCTCGTTTCCGAATAAAAGCAACCAAAGAGCGGACGGCTTCGTTGAATTCCTGAACGGCATCGTCCCGGATCTTCTTGTTTTCCTTCTCCATTAAGCGCCTTATTCGCCTGTCCGGCGCATCTGATAATCTGTATTGATCTTTCCAAGAATAGCTCTTCTTCGTTGCAAAACCGTTCCACGCCGCGTAGAATGGGCGAACCACGTCCTCATAATCATCGTCCTTGAGCCCGAACTCGGGGTAATCCATTGGGTCTTCGTCCTCCCACTGACAAGCAATGTCCTCCTCTTTCGCAAGCTGCTTGAAGAAGTCGTTCAATCCGCCATAAAAGCCACTCGGAGCATTGGTATATTCCAATCGGCCATTAAACTTCATCATCAATTTTAACACCTCCTCCGTGGTTGTCATGCGCATATTGTAGAAGAACTCATCTGACGTCGGGCCAGTAGCCTGGTCGCCGCGCAGAAGGATGTCTCTGTGCGAGTCATACCACGCACGTTCCTGAGGGTCGGAAAGGACTTCGTAGGCAGACTGGATCTCGGCGAACAGTCTCGTGGTCTCTTCGACATTGCCATAATTTCGATCCGGGTGCAGTTCGAGGGCCTTTCGCCGGTATGCCTTTTTGAGGTCATCGTCGGTCGCAGTTCTTTCGACACCGAGGAGATCATAGTAGTCAGCTTTGGCCGGAGCCTGGTCCTGGGCAGCGCCGTCCGAGGACTGTCGTTGACCCATGGCTGAGTGCAGGGGATGTTTGTCCCGGTCCAAAAGAGCGGTTCAATAGACAATCCACTCAAAATTGACGAGCATCATCCCGCAACGCCGTAGCGCCTCCACAGCCGACAGAGGTTACAACACCAACCACGGAGAAATATGGCGGTGAAACTGTTGGAATGGATCTCGAGCCTTGTGAGCCCCAGTAGTCAAGAATTGCTGCGCCATTTACGAATTATTCTAGCCTCGCCTAAAAAGTCCCGCCCAGCCCGCCTTGCCTAAAGTTCGAGGCTGATCCAACCAAGAAGAACCAAGGCTAACCAAGAGTCACGTGGAGGCACGTCCCAGCCAATTGACATCCTCCTCCGCGAAAATTCTGACGTGGATTTTGGTTCCTTGAATTTGCTGGTCGTAAGAGGCGCAGTTTCTGCTGTCATCTGTCACCGGGTAGCAGCCTATAGGATGAAACTCTCGTCTCTCTCTCCACGGTTCCCATTTCCGACAACTCCCATTTATCGCGCGTGGCCATTTTCGCCATCTGGGGTTCCCGGAAGCAAAAGGCATATTAAAGTCACCCGCCCCCCACGAAGATGAGGCCCACGCCCAAAGATGGAAAATAAGCACGCGACGACCTTGAACATACTGCTACTCGTTTCTCCACAGGGTTCATTCTATTCTATCTCTTCTTCACCATCTCTCATGAATGCTTCACGATGAAGTTCGGTCAGGACTTTGAAGCTACGCTTGCACGCGGCGAATATCCCCCAGAATGGGTGAATTCTGCAATCTCCTATAAGAAGCTCAAGAAATGCATCAAGCGAGTGCAACAAGAGCTTCTAAGCCTCGGGCTGGATAAGGAAACCCTCGATGCCCTGTGGAAGCACGTTGGCTCAGGTGACTCGGATGCCGACGGAAGAATAAGCGATGGTTTGCTGCAGTATACAGTCGAGGATGGCGGGACAGTCAACTTCACGCCCAAGCTGACAATTGTTGTTGACCCTCATGATGGCTCTCCTTTGGATGCATGGCTGAGTCCCGATACGCGGAGGATCTTACGACGCCTTGCCAGATCATCAAACCCTTGCATTGATTATAATCAACGCCAGGACGAATCTCCTCACGGGAGAACCAGATTATACAACCACCGGAACAGCGAGAGTGGGCAATCATTGGATAACGAGGACGGTCACCCTTTGAACACGGTTGAAGTTCCTCTGACCGCAGATTCAGAATTCTTTCAAACTCTCCGCCGAGAATTGGCATGTCTAGATGACCTTCAGCAAGCCGAGTACGCCCGCCTCAAGGAGGAAATCGCTCGACTAGGCACTCAACTCCGTGCTCTGCGAGCTAGCAAATCAAGACGATCCAAAAAGGAGGTCGAAGCATGGCGGAGGATTTTTGAACTTTATACTGATGCCGAGGTCTTCCTATCCTCTCATGAGGCTGATGCAGGGGCTCGAGACGCTACACATGCTCAAAACCAGTTCCAAGTCTTCAATGAGTCCCTAGCCGCGCACCAAAAGAAGACTATTGTGAAGCTCGGACAAGAAGCCAACGTGGCTTTGTCTCGATTCCTCCAGATCAACGTCAACCTTTTGCGGCTGATCAGATTCCAAGAAATCAATCGCACTGCTCTTAACAAGATTATGAAGAAGTTCGATAAGCGCACGGCTTTGCATGCGAAATCTTCTGTGACACGATCACTCACAAAAACCTCTCCGTTCATGGTTGAAGATTTGGCAAAGGCCACGTGCTTTACCATTTCCGAGGAAGTGTTGAGCATCATCCCGCAGCTCAACGATTACTTGTGTCCGATATGCTTTAGCATCTCATGGAAGCCCGTCAAATTACGTTGTGGCCACCTGTTTTGCATCAGGTGTATGGTTGTCCTACAAAGGGAGGAGAAAGATCATTGCCCTTTATGTCGAGAGGAGGTTGTCATGGAAGCGACTGAAAGTAAGTTGTTCCCCATCCAGATGGAAAAATGTTAGGGATGGATGATCTAATTGTTTCTGTTAGAGAATATCGACCAGGCACTAGTCAAATTTCTCAAATCCAACTTTAAAACCGATGTGAGGGAGAAGCAAAGGCAAAACGAGATTGCAGCGGGAATCGACCAGTGGGGAGCTGCTTATGAGCATGCGCAAATGCAGAAATGCATTGTCATGTGAGGCAGAACTTGGCCGCCCACTGAGCGCTATACCCTTCTTTCAAACCCTCATCAGCCAGCGATGAAGTATACGATCAGTTGATGATAATTATAATGGTTTTATAACACACCGCCTAAACCAATCTGACAGAACCGTCTCCCATGATACCTCGGACTGTCCCCCTCCCTCCTAGCAGAACACGAATTCCAGCTCCAGCGAGAAACTTTTCATTGCCCAACCAATGAGTCACAGTTTATCGACCAGCCATCTCACTCGACTCCTGTGCACGTCCCTTGTGTCCCACGCATGGCGATCTGTCTCTCGTCTCGTTTTGCTTTTAACGTCAAGTGGATCAATGCACAAAGCTGATCCGTTTAAATCTGTCTTTGGCTCGATGGCAAGGGTCCATCGCAAGGCGGACGACATTCATTGCGCCTTGAATGTCTGTCGCTCGCTGCGAGGTCTGTCCTGTTGGCATCCATTGCGATCACGCCCGTCTAGCGAAATGCATGCGCCGGCACCTCAGCACCAATTGTCTCACAGGATAATCTGTTTCAGCTGACAACCCCTGTCAAATCGCTGAACGCCACGTCCGCCAACCAACGAGAAGACCCAATGTTGAATAATTGCGGTCAGCCTTGTGGTCGCCTTGAGAAATTATACAGCACGTAGTTAGTTGTGCTTATCGGAACTGGTTGACTGCTTCTAGCACAACTATTCGCGCACTTTGGCAGGACTTGATCAAATGAAGTTTTGAGCGAGCTCCTATGCTACTGATATTTTGTCAAGAGCAAATCCTATAGAGTGATGACAGAACTTCTCGATTCCCTCGACTGCAATTCAGCATTCCCTCCTCGAGTCTCTTAGCCGGCAGCCTGCCCGGTGCACCCACCCCAGCACTTCAGCCTCGCATCGTCCTCCATGACATCCTCCGAACTACCTGAGCAGGAACTCTATAAAGGCAGATATGGAGACCTGAACCCTCACACTGTCGGCGATGTATTGCAACGCCTTTCTGATCGACCCAGACAGAAGTACAGCGAAGATTTGGATCTCTGTCTTTCAGTGATTCATGCACATATTGCCGAGTTACGTGCGAAGCTTGTGCAGCAGCTAAAATCATTGGAGCAAATGGTACTGCCTCGATTGGGATTGACAAGTACAGGGAGTCGCTATATCAGAGATCTACCCCGACATCATCTGACTTCTTATCATGGCCTGTGGGCTATTCGCAGCCATCTTAGATCAGAAGCAGAATGCTCTACTACTTGGCCGGCGTTTGTCGAGAAGTTGCGCGGATGCATTGAACAAGCTATTATATATGCAGAACGGCTTCACTCCGAGCTGTGTCAAATTTCAGACAAGCCGCCATGTTGGATAGAACTTCAAGAGAATATTCTTTCACTTGTCGGCACCCTCAAAGATATCCCAGGGGTTGTGCACGAGACGGAGGCGGAGATTTCAGCCGTTGATGCGGAAAATGGTACGACTTGACATGCTCGAACATCGTCATTCACTGACTGTTTCAGAGAAGCTCAACCAAAGCCAGGCACCGTCGAAGGCACATTCCAACACTGCTGACTCTCTGAGTAGCAAAGCGAAGATATCAGCAAGGTCAAGAGAGTGGAACTTGGAGGGGGCAGTCACACGTTTAAAATCAGCTGCACGGGGCGCGCTGCGCAAAGCCATTACACGTCTTCATTCTTTCTCGTACGGGCTCGGAGATCGACAGAGTGCTTACAGGATTGTCTCCTTCTTCGCCATTGTCGGCCTGGCCTCGACCATATTGTCTATATGGAAGTGCACTCCCTCGGCGATATCAGTTCAGCTTGACAGCAATTTCTGGTCCACATTAGGCCAAACCGTCGTTAGCTTTGCGGGACTGTACACCATCATATTACCCATACTTCGAAAGGCAGACTTCTACGTCAGCAACAAAGTCGCATTTTACAGTATGATGGTTTCCAGCCTGGTCACTGCAGCGTTGGGGATCATTGTTTACCACTTTCAAACCCGCACGAGCTTGGTTCTCAACTTCCTGTCCAGTATTGCACAACTATTTGCTACATTGCATCTGGTTGACAGTGCAGGGGACCGGCTTACCGGCCTGCACAGGGAGATCAGCGGTCAACAATCCGAGATTGATATGCTTCGAAGGGAGATCTTCGACTTGAGAGCAGCCTTAGACGACGAAAGCGCAGCCCGCTAGAAAACTTCTAAAAGCAGGAAATGAAACCCTTGGGACAAAGCCGTCTTGCGAGATAGACTCATGTCTTATACAGGGGAGCGCACGACCTTGAAGAATAGTATGAGTGCTTTCACGAACCGGCGGGAGTTGTAGGGAGAGATGGTAGACGAAACGGAAGGAAGACTAAGGGCAGATGAGGTGGACGGTCATAGAAACATGAGGCAGGCTGAGCTGTTTCAAGGGTTGGCGAGTCCTATATGATCCGTTCTCTACAATAGTTGAGCCCAAGCCGAGTCCCCTGGTTCTTATACTGATAGCGTTCGTTCATTACCCAGTTATCAATCTATTCTTGACGGACACCTTTTCTGGATTCGTTATTCTCTCCTCTCTCTCTCTTTCTTCTGCCTGCACAGCCTTTGTATTATTGTTATAGCGTATTGAGCTGCCCGGAAAAAGAGCCAGTGCCCTGATCTGACTGTACATTTCCGGAGATGAGAGGTATCCAATTACATACGCGGGTGTGGAACTTGACTCGGTGTCTCCTGGGGCCTTGGCCGTGTCGCTTCCCTTTTCATGAATCCTTGCCTATCTGGTATACATACTTGACGGCATGGGCCTGGCCCTTGGAAAGCCTCGTCAGACCATCGGCAAGACCGTCCAGTCCACCCGGGATAACCTCGTGCGGGTGCGGCTTGAACCAGCCCTCGTGGAGCCCGAGGGCCATGTATCGAAACATGATGTAGCCAAAGTGCTTGTCGGAGCCGTGCACGGAGCCCACGACGGTCCAGAAAGCCTCGACCCCTTCTGAGACGGCGGGGTCCATCTTCGGCCGCGTCATGCCCTCGATGCTCATCCCGGGCGTGCGCGGGATCTTTGTGCGGTCGTTGAACCCGACCGAGGCCAGCTTCGCATTCGCGGAGGGGAGCACGGACCCGAGGACCTTGTCGCTGCCGTTGCCGGCGATGGCATCGAAAGCATGCAGCAACGGCTTTCCGCCCAGAGCTTCCTTGACCTCGGCCACCACGGCATCAAGCCCGAGTCGGTAGTCGATGACGGTGTCGCCCTTGGATCGGTCGATGAGGGTCTCGACGTGGTCCTTGGACTGGCCGGCGACGCAAATGATGGGGTGGAGATTGCTTTTCCGGGCGAGCTGGACGGCGAAGCTGCCCACCGCGGCCCCCGCGCCGTAGACGACCAGCGCGGGCCTTTCAGCCTCGGGCAGCCTCTCGTCCGTGATCCAGGGGTACGGGAGCTCCAAGTCCTGGTACAGGCCGAGTGCGGCCGTCATGGCCGCGAGCGGCACCGTGGCGCCCTGCTCGAAGGATACTTCACGCGGGAGATGGAACGTCGTGTGGGCGTAGGCGACGGCGTACTCGGCAAAGGACCCGTGGGGCGTGAACATTTCGTGGAAGGCGGCGACGCGGTCGCCCGGGCGGAACTCGAAGACGCCAGACCCCACGGACTCGACGTAGCCTGCGATGTCGTCGCCAAAGTTTTGGGGTGGCTGGAAGAACGTGGCCTTGAAGTCCTTGGGGTTGGAGCCGCTGACGACCACGCGTATCAGGACCTGGCCGGCCCGCGGGACGGGGATGGGGGAGTCGACGATCTCGACCCGAGGTCCTGAGAGAGAAGGGGAAAATAGTTGGCTCTCTGACGTTTTTTGTTGCATGCGTAGAGTTGGGACACTGGGCCTTACCTGGATAGATAATTGCTTCCTTCATGTTGGCGGCAGCGTCGTGATCGTGAACGACGTCTCGCGGTGGTTGACTCGTAGAGGCTTTATTGTGCCATGGGATGGAAGTGAGAACTTCACCCCGGATCATATATTCACTAGTTCCACCACCACCGGGGGATCTTCAGCGGTTCTTAAACACCCCGAGCACTACCCAACCAAGACAAGATCCGGGGGCTCCTTGGCCCAGCTCATCGAACCCGTTTATGGTACTGTGTGGAAGCAAAGCAGTAGAGTCACACCACAAGTATGGAGCTTGATTGGGTGCTGGCATAAGGGTTGACCGTACAGGTACCTAAATTAAACTTTACTCACAAGAGTCTGTACTTGGTAGTGTTTGAATAGGCCCCTTGGAGAGGGACGATGCTGGGTTTATGCACAAATGGCACAATCGACTTGATGCACAAAATTTGACTCCCGAACAAGCGAGATTCCCGAGGTCAATTGAGTCCCTCAATCAAGCCCCAAGTTTTTTTTCTAAGAAATCAAATCGTTTCAAGTTGGGGATGTCGTGTTCCGATTTCAAACAAAAGCACTGCTCTGCTGGTCGGGACTCGAGATGATGTATTAATACCTACCGAGTACCTAGCAACCATTTGGATCAGGATCCACTTCTCCTTTCCCTCCGGGGGCTCTTGTGGGCCGTGCGCGGACAATAGAGGGACACATCCATGGAGAATCGGATCAGAGCGAGAATATACACGGTCGACGATAGCCCCGTTCTTCCGCTCAAGCCATTAGTGCATCCAACTTCTGGACGAGACAAGCCCAATTCTCAGGCCGTTATGTTCCAAAAGTCGACGAAATACTTACAGTGAAGCTGGTGGATTCCCAATAAGTAGTTGTCCCGTCGCCGCTTCCGGTGGAAGCAATTTGTCAGGTTCCGTCAAAGGACTCGGTATCTGGGTCGCTCTGAGATACATGAGATACGACACCACCTGTGTCCACCATAGGCTTACAGTGAGGTCTTTAAAGGTAGGTCCAGCTCCCGTTCTAGCTGCTTTCGAAGTCCTAGAAGAGGTGTTTGGTAAGATATACCCGCACGTTTTGTACGCATACACTTGAAACCGATCCGCCAAAACATGCCACCTGCAAAGACAGTTCTGGTGACAGGCGCCAACGGCGTCATCGGCCAAGGCGTATGTCGGGCATTTTCTCAGGCAGGCTGGACGACGTACGGCCTCATTCGAAGTGCACGAAGCGCTCCGGACTTGGTCCGTGAAGAAATCATTCCCATCGTGGGATCTGCTACCAACTACTCGTCGTTTCTGGATTCTCTGCCCCCGATTGATGTCCTCGTGTCTTGTTCTGAAGACATCAAGAACTACAAAGCTCATTTTGACGATGTGCTGGCTATGTTTTTGGGCATCAGCTCCGCCTCTCCTCGCCAGGGTGGCTCGAAGCCGCTTGTCATCTTCAGCAGCGGGTGCAAGGACTACGGCACAACTGCACGGCACGGCGACCCAAATCTTGCGCCGCACACCGAGGACAGTCCCCTCAACCCTCCGGCGCTATTGGCGAATCGCACACAGTGCGCGATGAGTATGTTCAGTCACACCGAAGCATTCGATGCCGTGATTACGAGGCCCACCACCATCTTCGGGCGTTGGGGGAGCTGGTATGCTGTATTTTTCATGTTGGCCGAAGCTGCCAAAGCTGCAGGTCACAACAGCTTCACGCTTTATTCAACGCCCAACGCGATTTTGCATGGTGCACACGTCGACGACGTGGGAAGGGCGTACGTCGCGATCGCAGAAGCCCCCCGACAGGTGGTGGCAGGACAGGTCTATAATGTCTCTGCCCACTCTTATGAGACGCTTGCCGATATAGCCACAGCAGTGGAAAAGAGCCACGGCGTGAAAGTCGTCTACGCTGATCCCGGACCAGATGACGACAAGGAATTTGGCGTCAACTCGGTTTTCAATTTCTCCCAGTGGGTCGACTCGACCAAGCTCAGAAGCCACACTGGTTGGCTGGACCGGAAGCCACTGTTTCACGAGGCGTACGGTGTGTACAGAAGGGCGTGTGAACAGGCCAAGGCAGACAAGAGTGATCAGTTTGTGAGGTACAAGGAGTACCTTTCTTTTCTGAAGGATCCGAGGTATATTTTCGATCTGGAGGGTTAGATCGGCCACAGGGATGGAGTCACAGAGGGTTCGATACTTATTGCTTGTAGGTGACGACTTATTTGTTCATATCATCCACATAGATCAATCCCTGGCCGGCATCTTCAACTCCAACTTTGAATGCACTTTCGAGTAGAATCATCCAGAGACGCGCCAAACACTGTTGTACTAACAATGTCAAGTGAAGCAGGCCATGTGAGCAGCATTGTCAATCGAGAACCAAAGCAGCAAGTAGCCACATCAGCCATTCATTGCTCTATCAGCATCGGATGCCCAAGTTTTGCCGGTCCGTCAATGTCCAATCGCGGTTAGCGGCCAATCACTTGGGAGGCTCCGCCCTAAAACTTCCCAATACGGTTATTATGACGACATGCGAGGGTCCTAGGCTCTGCACATCGCTGGGATCAACATTCAGTGTAACGATAGACACAATCTACACCTGGGACCCTTACTCCTCTGTTCGCTGATGCCATATCATACATATATGCAGACCCTGCCCCTCCTCCCCCACAGCTACAGAGGAGATCATGCTCCCAACAACGCGCTTCAGTGTTTCGCAACCAATACCGCCATCGATGTTGCGGCATAAAACTGTCGCCCTTCATCAGCCCCGGTGCTGAAAGCGTCCAGCATGCACCATGGGTGTGCAAGATTTCATCCGCTTCGACCTAGACGAATACCGGGCCAAAGTGCGCAATTATGATGATCAGGAACTACAAAAGAAAGAGGTGGTCTTGATTCGCACCGCATACTCGGGCACGGCGGGGATTGTCAGCGGCGCCGTCCTGGCTCCTTCGACAGGAGGTGCTTCTATGATAGGCTGTGTGGCTGCAGGTAGGACAATACACCTCGTTGAACAGAAGCTCGAGGTCGTTCGAGCCGAATTGACCAGACGTGGCTTGCCCCTGCACGAGAAGAGGACTCGAGACCATGCAATTCCCGTGACCACCGGCAGCATAGCTGGAGCCATGGGCTTGGGTATGGGCATGGAAGGACACATGCTGGGAACAGCAGCCGCCGCCGGAGCCAATCTTGTGGCGGTCACTACAGAAAAGCTGGATCGTGTCCAGACAGCTCCGAGCCGCCCGAGTCCTCAAGGTGCGAACAGCTTCCAGCGCCTCAAGAGATCCCTGACGGAGAATGTCACCTCACGCTCTCGATCC